ATAAATATATATATATTATATAAATATATACATCTGATATATACTACATATATATATATAGGGTGTTCTAAAAGTTCCTGTACATGTGTAAAGTAATCATGATCTCTATATCAGTGTTGTCACTTGGGCAAAATGGACAAAAAAATTTTTTGCCTGATTCGGCCAATAATATAAGATAGTAAATAAAACTGTAAGTTGTATTATATTCGAGTACTAGTATATTATCATCGTTGTATGATTATTTTCGCTTTATTGTCAATATGGCATTACATAATATGGTCCATTTGTACATCAAACAAAAATTAATAAAAAAATTTTATACATATAAGCCATATAATTTTTTTAATAAAATATAATCAGCTATATTTGAGAAATTTAAATATAAAAAAAAAAACAAATTATTCATTATCAAATTCATCAGAATCAAAGATTGATCCGTTTCACTATTTAATAAATTTATATAATGATCAAATTGCATACATTCTCTTGCATTTTTAAGTGATCTATTCCAAAATTCAGTAATTATTTTTGAATTTATATTCTTAAAAGCAAATAAAAGCTGGTTTCTAATTTCTAGAAAATTTGCATATGGACCCAATTTTGATACCTCACCTTTTACAACTACCCAAATATCTTTGATTGGCTGAAGCTCACAGTGATATGGTGGGGTAAAAAAAAACATAATGTTGATACTTTTTAGCAATCTCTATATATGCAAATAGAATCTTTTTCTTATTTTTTTTACAAATTCATAAAGTTCCGCTTTATATAAATTATCAGAGCAGCCTATATATATATATATATATTGGTGTTTAAGGTAACCTCTTTGGTTTGGAGAACTTTTTGTTAAAGTATAGACAGTGTTTTGTAATGTAATTACAAATTACAATGATGGTATATCAAGCCACATATGTACTTTTGGTATATAATTTAAGTAGTTTACCCAAGATATTAGTACTATACTAAGAGTTTTACACTATCTGCTATATCTGCATTTCAACTATGAAGATACTATTTAAACTATCTGGTTCTAACTACCACTGCTATGCTCTAACTCATAGATATTACTTACTATTCATACGCTGGATTTTGCTTCTACCCAATTTGGATTTTGCATCCTATCTTAGAACTTACTAATATAAACTAGTCTATTCTCAAGATAAACCTAACAAAGCAGTACATGTCCTATATATGTATACACCTGCATATTTCTATAACTTCTTCCTAATTAGTATATATTAATCTGCTGTTTCATATATATATTTCATATTACCTTTTGGGGTGCTGCCATTCTATGGACATTTCTCAAGCATTAATCTTTCTAACTAGATACCCATTACATATTCACTGCCTTTATTTGGTTCACAACAACTCTGATACCCACATTTGGACCATCTTTTTATCCAGATTCTTTATCAGTCTCTCTTTTACTTTTAGCTAGCAACTCAGAAAAGTTGGTCTGCTCAGGCTTTAGATGCCTCATAGTCATTCTCTCTTTGGTTTATACTTTTGGAGTATATGCCCTTTTACTCCAATGTGTCAGCCTGGCGGTTTAGCTAGTATGTCCCCCATTTAAGGACCTAATCGCTTGGTTTTTTGATCTTAGGCCCTGGTTCAAATTTAGCTTTCCTGTAATATTGTTAAAAATCATTGCTATCTCCAAACTCGGAACTTGCCAAATAGGTTTTTAGTTATTCTGATTCCTCGGATTTATTGCACCAAAGCTTCTATAACTAGATGGTGTAACTGAGATTATTGTATGGGTCTTATGTAACAACCTGTGCTTTTTTGAAAGCTTATTTGCATGGGTTTATATAACAATCACGTAATTTTCATATATACCTATGTGAATGGCTATTTTTATACAAAACAGAACTCTAATTGGAATTTTGTTGTAGCTATTTTCATAAGCTTGTAATTTAGACATTATTTATATAATAAAAACTACTTTTGTTTCATAATAACTGTTCTATAGCCATTGTAATAATAATGCCAATATTATTGAACTTTCATTCAAATGCTGTTTAATGTATTAATTAAGTATATAAAAAACGCACTATATATTAATTTAGACTTTTATAATAAACATATTGCACAAAGTTCATGTCAAAGAAAGATCCTATATATTATATACAAGTTAGTTCATAGCCCTTCAAATTGTTATAATAGATTGTAATTCATATTTTTTTTCATTAAAGTTTTAAAATATTTGTATTATTCATCTTCAGTAAATGTGGTTTTAAAAGTGATGGAAGCTTTTCAATACATTCATATTTTGAAAGTGCTTAAGAATCCAACTTATAGAAGATAGGCTAAACCTAAGTGTTTGGTAACTTTTTGAAATAATAGACCTTTAAAAATTTTTTTAAATATTTTTCAGCAAAAATGTTTTGCAAATATCATATTTCTTGTATTCTACCAAATATTAAAATATTCATGATGTTTATATTAGTACCTGAATTTTATTAAATCAATATGCTGAAATTACAAACTTAATCAAATCGGATGAAAAATTACTTGGCTAATTTTTATAAGATGTTCCAGGAATTCTGTAAAGTATCAGGAAGAATGAATATTTGATGGGCAATTTTTAAAATTCTAAATTAGTTATAGAAGAATTAAAATAATATGGATAATTTTACAATTCTAATTAATTGCATACAATTAAGCAAATTTTCATTTATTTGTAATTTGTAAATATCAGTTTACAAGCAATAAAAAAATATATCTTAATAAATATAAATTAAAAACATTTATTTATTAAAAGAAATCTTCAATTTAATATCTAGCGGCTTTTCAGTAGCAGGAATTTGAATTATAATGTTATTTGTTATTTCTTGGAGTGGCTTTTGCTCCTTGTTACTACGTTTGTTGGATGCAATTGGTAGTAGTGTTTGTTTGTCTTTATGATGTTTAATTACTTTTTGTAATGTTTTTTTGGGTTGATAAAAAGGCTGTAACATCTCTGCTTGTAATATAGCTTGGAATTGTTGGAAGAATATGTCTTCTTTGTTTGCAATAATTCTTGGGATTGGTAAGAAGAAATTTGAGCCTTTTGGTAATTTATTACAGAACTTTTAAATAGTGCTATAAGTTTTTGATTCAAGTTTGGAACTAACTTTTTTCTTTGTAATGTGATCTAAATTTTTTTTTAAAAAAAAATTAATTGATTTTTAAAATAAAAAACAGAATAAAATAATACCAGATTTTTTTGATGAAATTGATTAATTGCTTGAACTTGAATCAGGTAGAGAATTTTGATTCAAATTTGATGTACTTTCAGCTAGAATATCTAAAAGATAAGTAGAAACTAGCAAAATTATTGCTTTGTATATTTTTAATATTACACTAATCTGGTTTTTTATTTTTATCAGATTTATAATCAATATATAAATCTCCAAGAAAAGAATAATATAATTCAAAATCTTTCATTATAAGATGTATAAGAAATTAATAATGCTGTAGATGAAAGACATTGATTATCTGCTGGAGTTAGTGTTTTTATAAACTGAACTGAAACTGAACTTTGGTCAAGTTCAGGTTCAGGTTCAGTTCAAATATTGAACTTTTAAGTGAGGTTTATGTTTAGTTTAGTTTAGTATTGAACTTTTAAGTCAAGTTCATGTTCAGTTCAGGTTTAGTTCAAAGTTTATGAACATGTTCAAAGTTCAATGACAAAATATAGTAAAATTTTTGAATTTAAAATTTTTTAACTAGAACTTTGTCTTCACAATTATATGTTTTCTTCTTTATATAAATAAAGAAGAAAGCATATAGTC